AAGACAGGCAGGTGGCGGTTTGAATCAGAGTTGGGGAGGGAACACTGTGCACATGGCTACTTCCTGTTGCTCGCACCAAAAAGCTCCCACCAAAACTGGATTCATGTGTGCAGGAATCGACTACTCAGCCTGGGCAGGAAAGCCCGCCCAAAGCTAGTTGACTGACAGTTTTAAGGAATAGCAAAAGGAATTGGTAAAAGCATTTTTAAATCCTTTTATATATCCCTCTTTATAGTTTCACATTTTTAAATCAAAATATTTATTCCATCATTTATTTCTCTATATATTTTCTTTTTTTCTTTTACAGATGTACTCTTTTTTATGGCACTTCTGTGACTCCATTCCAAACAGCCTCCACAGATTTCCACAGTGTGGATGAAAGAAGTGATGTAGCATCCATCAGTTGCACAGAGACAGACACCCTGCTGCGTGACATGCTAACTGAGACCAGGTTGACATGAGCACAGAAGTCGTGCAGGTGTGATGTTAAATGTGTCACCACCCACGGGTGTGACTCATTTGGACAGGGGCAGAGTGATGTGTCATTTATTGATAATGCAGAGCAGGGAGAGGGTTTTTTCAACATGGCAGAGAGAGAACAGCTTGATGTGCCTCATGCATGATATGCATTTGCTTGTGGAACAGAGGACGAGGAACATCCCGATCCAGTGGATCAAAAGTTTGAGCTTTTAAATAATAATCTAATTCAAGCAGAGAAAGACAGGATAGCGCCACAAGTGAATATGTTGCGTTATTAATAAACACTTTTATTTGTGTATTCTCACATCTTCGTATAAAATGAAGGGAATCTACATCCACTTCATCAGCAGTAAAGAATGTGAACATGATATCTGCTGACTGAGGATGTGGGCTGGAAGTTCACAGAGGCAAACGGAAAATGTCCAACTCACAGGCTCCAGTCAGACAGCTGTTTTCTGACTCCTCTCCCAGTGAAACTGTATCTGACACGAGCCTGGACATGGCTGAAGATGACTGCTCAAATGTCTTGCTAGACCACAGGAGAAATAAAAGTAATCTAACCTCAACGTACTTGTTTTATTGAGATATCAGGGTCATTATTTTGTGATGCAGTCTCTTGTTTTCTGAATTCTCCAAAATACGGAGCGGAGAAAAGACAGGGGTAGAACATCAAAGATAATGAAAGAGAAAGAGAAAATTAAATTAAATTAAATAAAAGAGCTCTAAAAATTTTAAAATGTTAAAGTAATCCCTCAAGGCCAGTCACCACAACAGAGCACCATACGGGAGACATTGCAAAGGTACAGAATAGATGTACCAGTGATGTCCAGAGGAGTGAGAAAGAGAGGGGGGAACATTTAGTGAGGTTAATACAATTTCCATACATTGGTACAAAAATAAAACTATACATACATACATACACTGATGTCCGTGTGCATGTATAAAATGTATCTTGTTGTCAGCCCACAGCAGATTGTGAAATATTACCCATGTAGCAACTAAAATCAGCCCAGAGTTTATCACTGCGATGTGGATTTCTTTTCAGATTAAAAGACAGAAAGATATGTTTTTTTTCTGATGCCATGTAGGAGGAAATTTCTTTAAACCGCATAGGGATAGGGGGAGGGTCTTCACTTTTCCATGACAAAGCAATGCATTTGTCACCAGCATTCATGACCAGTTTTATATTTTATATTTTGGGGAGAGGGATGTCAGGTATGTTGCCTAAGGCTAGTTAAGGTGAACCAGGGACCTCTTTAAGGATCTCCGATATCGAGCCCATAATGTTTTAATTTATTACATTTCCAGAACATGTCAGTAAGGTTACCTGTGTATTGGGCAGAGCTCTGATATTGATTAATGATTGAGTGATTGATTGATTGTCTTGTCTTGTTAGTACCACTGAAGCACAATGTGACAAGAGACAGTGAGGAGGGAGGAGTGTGTGGAGCAAACACTGCAGTGTAGGTTTATTGAAAAGCTTTCAGTGGTTTGTATGAATGAGATGCTGCGATGTGTAAAGTTTGTCTGTGAAGAGAAGGATTTGTACTTGACACTTAACACGATGCACTGGTTACTTTTCACTCTGCGCTGAACAACCACAGCAGGCTATGTGTCTGTGTCTGTGTCTGAATGTTATTGTGAACATATTCATTTCTCTCTTCTTACACGTGTTGAAAGGTTCAGACGTTCTAATGCTGAACTGTGTCTACCTTCTTACAGATACAGCTTTTAATGCACAGAGCAAGTGCATGTTCTGGAGCATTCAACCATATCTAATGATCTTCATCAGCAGATGGAAATACCTGAGTTATCATCACATTAACCTTTGATTAACAAGTGATTTTTAGTATTAATGTCACTGCTGAACATTATGTTAATGTCCCGTTTAGTAACTGACTCACCTGATCCTCTCCATTCAGTTAATGTCTGTATTTATACATCATTTATTTTCTTTTTATATTTTCTTCATGTTAAACTAACAGTTATTTACCTTTGGCATTTTACACACCTGAAAGGTGTGAAAGGTTTTAGTATGGAGGCTGAGAATGGCCATACTCACAAATATTTTTATATCCTGTTAGATGAGCTGTTATGTCAAGATATGTCGGAATAATTCATTGAAACCATTTCAATTAATCTACAGTTCAGTGTTTGCTACCCGGATAACGGAATAATTCTCGTTATCTTGATATAACGGAGCTTCGTTTTCTAGAGATAATTATTCCATTATCTCAAGATCACAAAATAATTATCTCATTATCTTAAGATAACAACATAAAAAAGATATTTGAGAGTATGGTCTTTCTCAGCTTCCGTATTATTACAAATAAATATCCAGGTAAATCATTTAGATATTGTCGTCCCAAGTACGGAATCTGAAAAAGGCCATACTCACAAATATTTCTTTCTTTATTTATATGTTTCTGCATAATTATCCCGATATCTCGAGGTAATGGAATAATTATCTTCTCTAGATAGCGGAGCTTTGAGCTTTGATAATTATTCCGTGACATGCAATCATCATCTCAGTGCAGTAGCATTATTATGCACATTAAGCAAACCTGGATGTGGAAGTCAGGGACATAAACCAGGCGACAACATGCAAACTCCACACAGAGAGGACCAGGCCTGGGCCAGGTCCTTCAGCTCTGGATCACTGCTTCAGCTCCATGTGCTTCTTGTTGATTTCACATGATGCCGAATTTCTACAGGATCAAATTAATGTAGAGCTACTGACAAAAAAAGATATTCTTAAAAAAAACCCTGTATATTCATGTGCTGCATAAATGCAGACCTACTCAGACATACTGATGGTTGTTGCTTTGATGAAAACAGCTCTCCAGGATGAATAGAAATGTGGAAAATCAAAACATCTGAGGTGTGAGTTGTGTTGCTGAGAGCAGAGTCTGGTCCCGACTGTTGATGATCTAATAACAGAGCGTGCTGCGCCCTCTGGTGGTCACTGCTGAGAGGCTGCTGCAGCCTCAGGTTTAAACTGGATATAAATGAACTAGACCTCCCAATGAACCCCACACATCAGTCACAGCATGTTAGTGTTTTTAATGAACTTTATTAAGTAAACTCTACACTTTTAGTATTGCTTTTAACTTTTTATTTATTCATTTCACTCTAAATTAGAACCTTTTGCAATCAGCACATATATAACTTTTCAATCGAGCTACACTTTTTGAGGAATACAAAAATATCACAGTACATTTTCTACTAAGTCAACTTCACCTGTGAGGTCCAGAGCCAATCAGAGAGGCAGGTTCAGAACCACAGCAGCTGCCAGGACAGAGATGGAACATCAACATGTCTTAAAGTAACAGCACCACGGTCTATGAGCTAACCACACTGAGGGGAAGGGGGCCACTCACTGACAGATCCGGGTCACGAGGCTCAGTGAAGCAGGGCTCTCCACAGCCAAACCACCTGTGTCTCATTTCAATACACTAACACGTATTCAGTAAAGTGTGTGCGTATATGACAGCCCAACATGCTTCCCATTGAAAAACCAAATGCTTAGACCTCAACCATCTTTTCTCCCTTGTAAAACCAAACCGTCCTCATAAACCACAGAGCAGACATGTCAGCTGTGAGGCCAGAACGGCTCTGTTACTGCTCCTGGTGACCAGTGGAGGGATCTGGTTTTACAAGAAGATAAACTTGGAGAGACAATGACGAGGACTAACTGATCAGTTTGGCAAATGCAGGTCTGGTTAACATCAGCACATCCGAGAGAGAGAGAGAGCAAACACACAGCTGTTTCCCTGCACTGTTAAAAAGGGAAATGTCTGGGACTGTCATCCACATCAGCTACTGCCGTCTGTGCATTTGAATTAGTCAGTGATTTGAATGCTTAAAACAAGGGCTGGATATGGACTGATGATCAAAACCCAGTGGCACTGAATGCTCCTTTTCTGACCACTTGATGTAAATCCTAATTTTGTTTTTTTCTTTTTTTCTTTTAGCAGTGATTTTGTACAGATGTTGTGTTTAGACAGCATTACAGACCGAATTTGACAAATGAGTTGTTTTGTGATATCTTTTGTAGAAAAACAAATTTATATGTAGAAAAAAAAAAGTATTGAAATTTGGGATTGATACTGAAAATGTGTGGAGCTCCTAATAGGAAAAAAAAAGAAACGCTACTCCTCATGTTGCTTTAAGGAACTCTGAAAAAATAAAAAGATCCTCAGCCCTGTTAACAGGTCATTACAAAGGCCTGATCCAGATGTTCTATCACTGAGTGAAACTGGAGAGCCCCTAGTGACCCGGCTTGGCCCAGTAGTGGTTAGACGGCCTCTGGTTTTGGTCTGGAGCTGTGGTCATGTCACTCCTCAGCCAGGCTGAAATGTAAATATGAATCCCACACAACAACAGCACCTTTAACACTCTCTCATTCTCTTCCCATTTCTCTCTGCTTACATGTCAATATTCTATACAAAGTATCAAAAAAGATTAAACAAAATACTGAAAAATCCTCACCCGTACTGACAATATAATTTCTCATATTAAACCTTTTTTTTTTATTTTTTTTTTTATTCCTTGCAAATCTTCCTTTTCTCCTGCAAAGATTCAGATCCACAGTGACAGCAGCTGCCACTCTGGACAGGAATGTTGCAGCGTGAAAATGACTCACACTCATTCATTCAGAACAAAGCTAAACAAAACTACTAAACACTGGAAATGAAGTGAGGATGGAGGGTGAGAAATCCCCATCGATATCTTCAGTTTAGGGGAAATGGAAGAGACGAGTTAGATGCAGAAACGAAGGAGTACACTTTAATTCCACAGTTACACAAACAGGAACCATGATAAAACAAGAGTGAGGAGTCAGTCAAGAACAGAGGGGAGCAGGGAGGTGACCCGGCTCCTCCTCTGAGCTCTGGGCCTACAAACACCCATAAAAAAGGAAGTCTCTGTGGGTTGGGGGTTCGGGAGCTGATTGTACTGCCTGTGTGCTGTGTTTGCTGAGTCCACATCACAGGGAGGAGGCTCCCCGACAGAGCCAGACAGCAGAAATGTGGCCGGCTCAGTGCAGTGGCAGTAGAAATGCTGGAGGCCGAGTAGGTGCTAGATGGGACTCCTCAAGCTCGGCCCAGACCCAGACCCAGACCCAGGCCCAGGCCAGGGCCCAGCACACCCTCGCTCAGCGTGCTGCTCAGGGAGAGAAGGTTGCCATCTCCAGGGAAATGCGCTGCCACAGCTCCTTGGTCTGCTTGCCCCTCTTCAGGTTCTGCAGCACGTCGTTGAACTGCATCATACCCACGGGCGTCAGGCAGAAAGCACCTCGAGCGCTGCGGATGATGTTGACGAAGTCATCGTAGTCAGCAGGTGTCAGGTGGATGAGCCGATGGTGGATGTACTGCGGAGACAGGGAGGGAGGTGTGACGGTGATCAAACAGCACTGAGACACAGCAGCATGAGTCAAGACTGATGAGTTATAGAATGGAGAAAGCATGGCGGCCCATTCAATCTGATGAGAGCTGTTCACTCATGCACATCCTGTCTATGCCTGTGATTAAAGAGTCTTTGAATCTTTATTTCTATTACTATCCAGATATGTGTGATACAAATGTGGTTCTTAGTTATTGAGCTGTTCAGTCTGAAGTGGACTGTAGAAAAATGTCTCTGGTTCCAGTCTCAATTGCTGCCCACATCCATGATTGGATTCAGATTGGTCAGATGTGCTCACTGACAGCTGTTTCTGAGCCAATCAGAGCTCTGTAGGCCGGATTAAGAACAGAAACATCATCTTCCTTCACCAGAGCAAGAACTGACTTACAAAAAGTTTTTACTGTTTATTGAAGCCCTCAGTGGATTAACTCCCCCCTACATTACAGACCTTTCAACCTCCTACACTACATACAGGCCCCTCAGATCGTCAGGCAGGGGTCTCCTCGGGTGCTTTCTCAGTCATGGCCCAGAGACTGTGGAACAGCCTGCCCATGTCAATCAGAACTGCCGTATCCATCCACTCTTTCAACTCTTTACTCAAAACATATTTATTCTCATTAGTGTTGGTGTTATGTAGTGTGCCAAGATCAGCTGCCTCCCTCATTTGGTTGTTGTTTTGTTGTTTTGGTGATGTTGTGCAGCACTCTGGTCAGCTGTTTGCAGTTTTTAAATAAATTTGAATTTTGAAAGCGATGGGGACAAATGTGGCTCAGGAGGTAGAGCGGGTCGTCCACTAATCAGAGGGTTGGTGGTTTGATCCCTGGCTCCTCCAGTTGGTGTGTCGAAGTGTTGCCTTGGGCAAGATACTGAACCCCAAAGTGAGTGTATGAGTGGGTGTGTGTGTGTGTGTGTGTGTGTGTGTGTGTGTGTGTGAATGTGGCTTGCACTTTGAGTTGTTGCTATATAAGTGCAGTCTATTTCAGATTCAGGCTTATTCAGGATTACAGCAGTAAACATGTTTCCTTCAGTGACATACTTTAAGTTAATCGCTCTTGGCATCTTCTAGCAGCTTGTGTGTGGACTGGAAATGAGTTGCAGGGACCACACATCATTAACATAAACCCCTCCCCATATTAAAAATATAATGTCAGAGGCAACAAGTTAAATGAAATGGCAGTTGCTCCATTATAAGTACAGGCTAGGCTGCAGCGTGGGCGGGGGTGTGTCGTACCTGCAGGTAGGCCTGTTGGCAGCGCTGGACGAGCTGGTGGAAAGCAGGTGTTCGGAGGTGAGCGTGGATGTGGGCGGGGTTCAGCCTCTGCAGAGCCTCCATGATGATCTCCTGCAGGACGAACGGACTGAGGACGCCTTTTGCTGCTCCGACACAGAACTGGTACACGTAGTTGACTCCTGACAGGACGGACACACAGAGGGGAATAAGAGGAAGGACAGGGTTGGTTATATAGATGGAGAAAACAGGAAGTGACAGTTAAGGGGGAGGGGACAGTTTTTGAGAGGGTGAGGGGTTGTTTTTTTATTGCTTTTATGAACTTTGTGTTACATATGCAAATAAAGTCTGATTGATTGATTGATTGTTTGATTGATCAGTTCTTCTTTTGCTCTTCTTATTGTAGCTGTCCGCTGCTAGCTGCACAGCCACACTCAAGTATGAACCAGATGCATAAACAATCTGTTAACTAGCCATTAAATTCCTGTATCAGCCACTAAAGTCCCGGCTCCTTTGCTGTCCATTCATGCATGTGTGAGCTCACCCAGCCTCGCAGCCAGTCCCAGCAGCCACTTGACGTCCTCGGTGTAAGGTGGGCTCCTGGAGAAGTTGTTGGGGTGGTCGTTGTGAGCCCTCCTGCCCAGCATCTCTAACGCCAGCATGCCTTCACACAGAGGAGCGACAGAGATCACATGTGTTCAGTTCATCCTCTCTACTATGTGCACACTGGTTAGAGGAAAACATAACCGTAGGTCACAGACTCCTCACCAACTCTGTAGGCAGAGTGCAGGTAGTGCAGGCCCTGCTGGCTGATTGGCTGGCTGTGCTGCTCGTCCTCTGCTGGGAAAGGCGTGCTGACCAGTGAGCCTGGCTGGGAGGAGAGGGAGGGTAGTGATGCTCCCTGGATGGCCTGGATGGTGGGGCCCGCGTGGACGCTGCCAACTGTCAATCATGACAAGCACAACATACGGTTCAGCACTGACTAACATACTCATCCCGTGGTGCTATAACACTTACCAATGTACTATATCTGAAGTGGCTTACATTTAGAAGAACACTGATGACAGCTAACACACAGTGTGTAGTCCTGACCTGCTACAGTGGTGCTGAGGGGCAGGCCGGTCTCAGTGTGGTAGGGATGGACGGCGATCTGAGTCATGGACGGTACAGGGACACCAGGGAAGGTCACAGCTGTGGCTGCCATTGGTGGCTGGGGGCCAGCAGCCACTGAGAATGGGTATTGGGCCCCTATGAAGGCTGGGTGCATTCCCTGAGGAGGAACACACACACACACACACACACACACACACACACACAAACACACACATGTGCACAAACAGTTAGGCTGAGTGACCTGCACTCGACTGTACCACGAAAAATGAAAGAAGTGTGAGAAGATTTGTACGGAACAAACAATGTTTCTATCACAACACCGGCAGATTTAAAGATTCATCTGTGTATAAGTGAGAGTAACAGACCCTGAAACTGTGTGGGCGTTTCCCCTAGCGCCACTTATTCTCTCAATTCAATGATTAATCCACAGAAAATGTGGATTAATGACTTATCAATTAATCAAGTAATCATTTCAGCTGTAATGGATGTACGTTAAGACACTGTGTCCACAAGCTATTATCACATCTTCTCTTTATTTGTAGGACAGATTTTCCACCTCAGCTAAGCAACACTTTGTTCATAAGAAAACCTGTTCCGGAAACACAGAAATCTGCCGAATAGAGAAACAGCAGAGAGGAAATGTAGTAGTTGATTAAACGGATACTTAAGTTAACTCTCTGAAAACCAATTAATCATTAAATCATTTTTTTAGGCATCAATATAAAATCTTCTCTGGTTCCAGCTTCTCTACTCTGGGGATTTGATGCTTTTCTATCACAGTGACGTGCTGTGCTGTGGAATCTCCCTTTTCTGCTGCTATTTTTGTTTAATTGTACATATTATATTATTATCTATTATTTATCTTCTTTTTAATTATTTTATATTGGCATTTTGCGGTTTTTCTTCTCTTTGTATTGTCCACTTTTCCAGGCCACTTTTCTTGCCGTGAAAGGCAAGTGAAATCATTTGTTTTTTTTTTTTTTGCCAGGATAAGTTTTTCATCTGTGAAAACAACCCCCGAGAGGCAAGTGAAAGTTTTAAGTAAGTTTTTTTAATCTTATCATTATTTATTTTTTTGTTTTTATTTTATTTATTTTTATTTTGAAAATTGCTCACGTGTGTCAGGCCATGTCACTGTCTGCCAGCTGCCATTCCAAGATGTAAAGACAACATTAAAACTGTCCAGCGTCTCTGTTTCTTAATAAAAAGAAATTCCACATAAAGCCCAGTGTCCGTGTGAAGACCAGTTCTGACCTGTGGATATGCAGCTCCAGACACAGGGAAGACGGTGGGGCGGGGGACATGCTGCAGAGGGTGTCCCAGGTACTGGGGGGTGCAGACGGTGGGGAGATGGGCCTGGATGGTGGTATACGGGTGGAGGCCCTGGCTGTGGGGGTGAGCCATGGCCTGCCCAGGCATGGTGTGGGACTGGTAGATGGTGGAGCCCACAGAGATGACGGGTACGACGGCTGCTGCGGTGACCGAGGCTGTGACCGTCGCCACCCCCGTAGACTCCATGTTCGCCCCGCTGTCAAGCACGCAGCTGGATTCAGGGGGCCTCCTGCCCGAACCCCCGTTTGCCCCGCAGCGCCCAGAGGTCTCCCGCTGCTGGCCTGAGCCCCCGCCCACTGACTGCTCGTACAGCCAGTACCACTGGTGGGCCACCTCAAACAGAACCTCAGGGTACACACCTCCACCCTTAGCTGCTTCTTCTACTGCCATGCAGGCCTTCTCTAGCATCACATTGTCCTGGAGGGAGACAGGGACAGACGGGGACAGATGAAGACAGGGAAGTGAAGAAGATCAAAATGGATCATTCATTTGACTTTATTTACTACAATTAATCATTGGTTTCATTAGCAGTAGGTTTCAGTTTCATAGATTTGAACTGACTAACAGTTTAATAGAAGTTCAGCTGCAATTAGGATTTTATCATTGCATTTTAATCAAATCCCGAAATTACTAAAAGATAAAATTTACTAAATTCAATTCAAAAAGGAATTATCTTGACATGTTGGAACCAAGCACACTTACAAACACATTCAGCAACATTTGATGTACATTGCAACAGGTTGCTCAATTGTTCTGAACTGTAAACCCACTCCCACAGTACCTGCTCTTTGCACTGCACCAGGGCTCTCTGGATTTCATTAGGATTCAGGGCGTGAGCATGAGGCAGGCAGCTCAGGGCCAGCTCTGCTGCTGCCCGGACCATGTTGGGGTCCCTGGCCCGCGATGCTCGGTCTGCGAGGGATGCCACCTCTGGAGGGGTGAGGTGACCATCCCAACACTCCACCAAAATGTTGAGGGCAGCGCTGCCGATCTCCATGGCCTGGCCTGAGAGGTTAAAAGACAGTGGATTAGAACATCTGGGTTTGCATGTTTCTGTCTAACTCCCTCTATCACTCACACACACACACGCACACACTCCTCCTCACCAGTTATCCAGGACACATGGGACGAGTAGGTCCTGGACAGCCAGTTGGGTGAGACAAAGTTGTGGAGGCCAAGAGCATACAGACCAATCTCAAAGGCACACAGGTGCAGGTTTCTGTGGGGCCCCTGGTGGCCCCCGCTGGCTGAGGGCTGGGTAAAAATGGAGGTGGAGGAGTTTCCACCGGCTTTGATCAGAACAGTCTTGGCAAGCTCAAAGTAAAAGTGGGCTGCTGCCTCTGATGGCTGGTTGGGCACGTGGGGGGCGTGGCACTCTGGACGTCTCCCTTTGTACCTGAACACACAGACAAGTACGACAAGTTTATTAGAATTTAGTTGTTCAGAATAAATCAGGTTTGTTATCAGGGAAACCTGCTCAGAAGAAAACCAGCTCCTCAGCTCAACTTCAGCTCATCTCTGACCCACGTTTTTACTGTTGTCTGCACTGTTCTCTTAAACATTGGGATTTACACATGTGGACATCAACAGTTTATTGATAGTATTAAAGTCAGTTTGATGGGTATTTAAAGAATTTCCACCATTATACCCCTTGTCAGATTACTGCAGGAGAGAACTGCCGCACTAATCTGACTAATAATATGTTTCCTATGCCATTTCATGACAGTTTTGTACCACAGAATTTTACCCACAGGACAGATTGAAATGATTTTGTAATGTAAACCTGTTTTAGACTATGAGGATGTCAAATTCACAACTCTCACATTTCCTCAGAGCTTTATTTGTGCAGTGTCTAATATGTAATGTGAAAAATTCTGCATAAAACACAATGTAGTTGTAAACCATTTATTATGAATGACTTGTCTTAACATTAGCTTGCTAGGTTAACTCGCTAGCGTTAGGCTAGTTGGCGAGCTTTTTTGAGAGTAATATTTGGCACCTGGATCATTCATATGAGAAAATAGTGGATGAAAAAAGAACATTTACTTGCCAGAAATGGCAGCCATCTTGAATTTTCAAGTGGCCAACCTGTGTTATCTAAAGAGTAATACCCAAGGAGGATTTGTGTCAAGTTTAGCATTTGTATCCAAATTTGAAAGATCCCTCTGACATATGCAGTTATCTGCTGCAGCATGTGACAAGACTGACCAGACTACCTGCAGACCAAGCTAAGCAGGGAGTTTATTGTTGGCTCCTGCTTGTATCTCAGTATACCACTGATCATCATTTGGCTCAGTTTTGCTTTGGCTTAGGTAATATCTGTTTAAAGCTCCATATTTTCCTCTTCTCCTGTGTTTTATTTGAAGTGTTGATCCATAAGAAAATATATTAGTGGTTTTAAGATCCAAAAACCATCTTAGTGTAGTTTTACATCTTGGTGAGCCAATGAGGAGAGAGTAGGCTCTGAGCCTCTTGGGGCAGAGGCGTGACTGCTTTGTTGTGACATAGCATCACATACGCTCTTTAAAATAGCCACTTTATAGTATCAGGGATCTGATGAGGAGGACGTGTTTACCTGCTGGTGTCAGTGCTCTTGGCTCTGGCCCCGCCCCCTGCCCTGCGAGAGCCACTGGAGGAGGAGGAACCCAGTGAATCAGATGATGAACTGCTGATACTATCACTGTCCTGGCCCCGCCCCCAAGATGTTGCTGCCCAGCTCCCCCGGAGCGGCCGGCGACTGAGGGTGGGGGAACTGTCCGAGGTGGTCTCCGGAGCACTGCTGTCGATACTCGCCATGCCTGTCCAAACACCACGACCATCACATCATGTTTCACATCATTATTATGTGCGTTGATGTGAAGCTGTTTCAGTATGTGGCACATTGTTGGGTACAAGCTGGATGTACAGAAATACCACATATATGACCCAGATTCAAACACTTCCTGTATGATGCCGTGGATGTAAGTGGAGGTAGTGACAGAGTAAAGGCTGTGTATTCTCTGATGCTCTACCAGATCAATAAAAAACACAGACATTATTGCCTAAGTGTGTACCTGTGTGTTTCTTCTTCTGCCGCACAGGTGAGCCCCAGCAACGTTGGCTGTATCCACAGCGCGCCCCCAGTGCCAGCCGACTGGGCACCGTGGCCTCCAGCTTAAATGGAGCCGTTTCATTCTGCTGGTCATTTGATGACGGAGGCCCATCTGATACTGAGAGGAAAGAGTCTGAGTTCTATCTCCATCAAAGAATACTGGGTTACCACAGAGTGATTCTCTAATGCAGGGGTCTCCGACAGGTAGCTCGCGAGCTAATAGCTCACCGCTGCTTTAGAGTAGCTCACCCAAAGGTTCAGAGAATATAGGAATGCATTGTAACACAATTTCACCAAGTAAAATTTGCTGCAAATGCAACTAATCAAAATCAAACACACACTCAATCAAGAGTCTCCTGGCAGCGCAATAAACATGTGTTCAAAAATGTTGTGGTGAACTTAATACTATAAAACTAACTACATGTATGTTTTCAACTAAAAGGGTGAATGTGCAGCATAGAGAAACCTATTAGCGTATAGTGTAAATGTCTAATAACTATTTTTGAAACCTGAAACTGCTGTAGATCCTCAACAGTATCATAAGACATGGCACCTAAAGAAGGGGTGCTGGGTTGGGGGTGTAGGTTCTCACCATGCTCCCTGGTCTCTGCAGTACTCTCCCCTGCTGTGCTGTTCTGTACTGGGTTCAGATCGGCCTGATGAGCCACCTCTTCTCCAGCCAGTGTCACAGCAGAGGAAGAGCTGGAGGAAGAGGCTGCCACAGTTGTTGCAGAGGAAGATGAGGGGGCGTGCTTGGAGACCCCCCCAGTGGCTCCGCTCACTCCGCTGCTGTGGCTGGGGGCGGTATGTTTGGACGGGCTGCGCTGGCTGCCAGCTGCCGGCTTGCTGGAGTAGAAGGAGCTTAAAGTCTGAGGCTTATGGGTCTGACTCTCCCTGTCCAACAACTTATCCAATATCTGAGGATGCGAGAGAGAGAGAGAGAGTAGTAGCCTGTGACCACACTAACATACAACATGTACTTGGAGAAAACAGTGCCAGCACCACAGAAGCAGCGGTATATGTGAGAGCATGTCACAGCCTGAAAAAACAGCAGCACTATACATGACAACTATAATCAGTCTCCTCATGCTCTGCCTTTTTATTGATTTTACATCTCATACTCACCATTTTATATCAATATATTGATTCTTTATTGATCCTAAACGAACACTAATTACTTTAGTAAACCTATAATACAATGATTACAATGATGACTGTTCTTGTTCTTTATTTATTCATTCTATTTTACTTAACAGATTATATGTGTGTATATATATATATATATATATATATATATGTACTTTTTCCTGATTATTTTCCTCATTATTAGATGTAGACGCAGACAAAGTCACATAAAAAGGTGGCAACCCTAGCCACACCCCAAGCTCCACCCACCTGGACCCACCATCCAACCTTGCAGGATTTGGTTTCTCTGAGTGTTTACCTGATATCTTTTTATTGGATCACTCAGAAAACAGTCAGCCAATCAGAAGAGAGGCTCAGAGCCTCCTCTCTTCTCATTGGCTCACAGACCTGTAGTTACTAGAGCTCCAGAGAGAAGCCAGAGAGAGGAGATGTAAAACTATACTGAGATGGTTTTTGGTTCTTAAAACCACAAATATATCTTCTTATGGATCAACACTTCAAAATAAAACACTGGAGAAGAGGAAAATATGGAGCTTTAACATCATTTGGAGCTGTGTTTCTGTCCACACATTATGGTTTGGTCACCATGAGATCCTGAAAAAATACCTGGCTCTTGAGCAGCTAAATGCTCCACTATGTCCACCAGCTGGTCTCTGACTGTGTCTGAGCAGGTAATGGGCAGTGAAACCCACTGAGCTTTCTCACTGAAAACATGAGAAATGAGCTGAAAAAGCTGAGATGCTTGACAGAGCTGAGGGAAGCTACAGAGTTGGTGATCATTCTCTCTGAGTTCAACAATATGATGAACCTTTTTCACACTTCACATCAGAGTAGTGATGGTTACCTTCTTCAGCTTGCTCTGGTCATCCTTGTAGGTGATCATGAGAGCCAGAGCCAGGTCACCCTTCACCCGTCTGGTTCCTTCACACAGCAGAGGATGCTCTGCCTCACTGACTGTGGTCTTCATACCTGCAGTCACACAGGGGGGGAGACATGAAGAGGGATAAGGTACAGACAAAGAGAAAAGTGGTGAGGAGGGGAAAACAGATACTGAGGCAGAAATGAAGGATCAGGAAAATCATATTTTTACCAAGTGCAGCGACAGCCGCCTCGAAGCCCAGCTCCTCATCACCAGGCATCTCGTTGTTGCGGTTGCGGCTTGGTGGACGGGAACCCGTTGGGGACACAACTGCACAAACAATATGGATAAAATTGAAAAGGATGTTAATTCTTGAAGTTCCCATTTAAAACATCTTCATTTAGAGATTCAGAATAATTCCTTCAAGGCCTCGTGGTTAAAACATATACCATGTAATGGCAACATCACTGGTCTGAATCCAGCTGTGTCGCATGCTAGACCCCTCTCCTCTTTTTTTCCTGTCTGTATCGCTACTGTCAAATAAAGGCAGAAACATAAACAACATAAGAAGTTCTCAGGTATCTGGTCTTGATTTGTTTTTGTTGGACATACAGTATTTATGTTACATCTTTGCCGTTTACTATCAGACAGATATTGAACCTGGCCAAGAAAAAAATCTTTCAATCTTATCCTTCTATTTAAAATGTTGCCTGGTCAAACAATATTTGGTACTTACCTGGGGTACACAGCACATCGAAGATGAAGCTGGCCAACATGAGAGGCAGCACAGGTCTGTAATCACAGAAGTTTCCGTCTCTGAGCTGCTCGGCTCGCTCTCTGATGGCCGACATCTCCACCAGGCCCAGAGGAATCTTCTTCAACAGAGCCACCACCTCTGACTCCTGGTAGGCCAGCTTCACCTGGTCAGCCCACACACAAGCATCAGTTCGCTCCACATACTTATCATTTAGATATACCATACACAACACACATGCATGGAGCTTATACAGGAATAAGCCCATTCCAAAATGACAACTTGTTATTCAACTAAATTTACAACATTTGGCAAACTCTCCTTTTCAGAGTGATGTTCAGGACACTCACTCTTCATTGAAACAATACTATCAGGTCAAGCAATCATTCAATCATTCCCCATCTCTCATTTTCTGTCATCTCTCCTCTGTTGTCAACTGTGGAGCAGCTCACCCACGTGTACCAAGGTAAAGAAGCTCAATTAGTAATTGCCATTTAATCCATGAAAGATTCAAATTGTTAATCAGGTGTGATGCTGTGTGATGGTGCTCAAAGCAGGCAGACACGCAAGTGTCAACAATCCACTGAAACTGGAGTTTCTTTAGTCTTTACTTACTTTTTACTCATTCATGTATTTATTTCTATGCCTGTCATGAGCAAAGTTTCTTATGTACTTCATTTACACTTTTGCATTAACTGGATATCCTTAGATAATAAAGAATGAAAAACCACAGTGTTTTATAGCACAATTACTTTTATAACAGACCAAATAAATACCCGTGCAGAGTGTGTGTGAGTGTGTGTGTGTATGCGTGAGTGTGTGTCAGACCTCCAGAGCTTTGGTAGATGCCGGTGGTCTCTGGAGTTCCAGGGAGAACATGCCGGTGCTGAAGGCCAGGTTGTGGAGCTCCAGCCGTTCACTGAGAACAGTGAGGAGGAAGGCGGCTTTCGACAGTGTGTTAGTGGCTACCTGCGTCTGACGGCTGGTGGACACCTTGCTCTTCTTACCCTAAATCCAACAACAAGGGAAATAATGATGATGGAACATGAAAACTTTACTTGTGATGAGCAGATTCAATTTGAAATTCTATCCTTTTGTATAGTTGATATTTGTTGGTCAATTACAAATGGGCACAGTAACACAGTTAATATAAAACAGAAAGGCTCAATATCATTCTACACAGTTCAAGATGTTGACTGATGAGTTTGGAGACTGCGACTGTACAACAGATGGAGAGAAGAGAAGACTGTGTTCACTGACTACCTTAGTCTGTGGCTGCTCCACCTTTAGGTCTGGAGGGTTGGCTAGCAGGTCTCTGGCCAGCTCCACAGCCAGCCGGCACGCCTCGTTACTGTAGCCATGAGCGTAGAGGGCCTCGGCACAAGCAAACAGCACCTGCTCACACACAGCAACAGTATTCAGGCCAGTACAAACAGCAGTGGGGTTTCATCTCTGTGTCTGGGAAGTATTTTTGTCCAGTGGTATCAGAGCCAGTCAGGTGTAAACACTGTTTCAGTCGATCTACAACCAGCAAAGCAGAGGATTCTCCAGCAGTAGATCTAGTCTCTAATGGACAGCCTCATCACATTGATTTACAAATCACAGATTGTGTTTAATTGTGGGAAATCTTTGCAGTTTTTAAAAAATCCTTTCTGTCAGTTAATCTATTTATAACATTATATTATAAATTAATTATTATATATTCATATTTATAACATTTTACTCACAAGCTTTGCTGTGAAGACAGATCATCATCATTCATTTATTACACACAAAATTCAGAGTAAAAGTAAAGTAAAAGCACAATGATAATAACAACGTGTGAAAATGGAACACCTCAATAAGCTTATATAAGATGCTTTTTTTCTGGTCTTGTTTGTATGTGAGGGGAGGTCAACTGGAGTGTGTCGTTTAGCTTAAATACAACATTATACATAATACAAGCATTGTCAAAGATATTACATTCAGTAAGCTTCAAAAAACTAACAATGGAGAAGAGGGTCAGTGGGAGCGTTTACTGTTGACCATGATAAATGACTTTTTTCTGTAGTTTCTCCTGATAACTAGGAAAAGTTTATATGAGGCTCAAATAGGGACTAGTAAGGTTTGAGGTGCTTCAAGTGGTAAAAAAAAATGCCTCAGTTTAGAGAATAAACCAACATATTTGGGTAATTTTTTGGTCAACTCACTGACCTGGACCATAAAATGTAAGAATTCATCAGGGTGAACCACCAGGAATTTGGAATGAACATATTCAACGTTAGTTCGATTTCAGATGCACGCTGACAGAACTAAGAGCAAGCAACACGCAATCTGATTTTAAGCTGATGGAGTTTAACTCAATTATCTAAACCACTTACTTGGAAGAGAAAATGAAGGCAGCAGAACACAACGATCCAAATCTAAACTGCCATCCCACTGACAGTGTGTTGGGTTTTGACCCACAAAGATCCCTGCACTCTTGTTCATTTTTATGTGTGGGCTTTGGGCACATGTCAGTCAGATGTGGTAGCCTGTAAACTGCTAAACTTCTGGGGTCCAGATGTGGTGGTGGCAAGTGACCAGACCCAGTTAACTGTGGCCTCAGCAGTCCGTATGCTACTCTGTGATTTGTGCACAATCATGAAGCAATGGCAGCATGACGGCTAACGTTGACCTATTTTTTAGTGCCTACCCACACAGATATTGCGCCAATCATATGACAGTACTGACACTGTCAGTCAGTGCTTCATGCCCACAGGAGAACGCCACTTTAGGTTGTAATGTCACAACAGTAAGATCAATTAAATTTAGATTTCTTCTTTTGGTAATTACTATTTTGCTCACATTGTGTGAGGCTGTGATTTGTGTGGTTAATATGATGGGAAGGTGGGTGGGTATTTGTATCATAACATCCATACCTGTAAAGGCCCAGCTGTGAACAGTTTAACCAGCACACCATTGGGTCTTCTTGCTTACCTCCATGCGGCCCTCCTGTTCCAGCGGTTTGATCCCTGCAAAGATGTCTGGCTCCTCCTCCTGGTGATTGTCAGTCAGCTGTCTTTCTGCTCCCTCCTCTGAGGCAGCACTCAGGTAGTATGCCTGATAGTCGTCCTCGCCCACAGCTTCTCCTCCTGCAGCTCCACCTGCTGCCTCTGCTCCTTGGTTAGCTGATCCACTTGGAGCTGCAGCCGCGCTTCCTGCTGCTGCTGCTGCTGCTGTTGCTCCAGCAGACGCCGTCTCTCTGCGACCCCTCGGTGCCTTGGCAGATGTTTGAGTGGTGCCTGATCTTGCTGTAGTGGTGGAGGTGGAGGGCTGGTTACTGCCAGCTGAGTCTACATCTTCATCTCTGTTCTGGACGGACTCCACCTCCAGCTCTGCTTCCTTTTCTGCAGCGTTGGGCATGTCCATAACCACCACCACTGTCTCTTTGGCAGGGAAGCAGGGTGGAGCAGGCTCTGCAGCAGGAAGTGGGGCAGAGCTATGGCTGACACGCTTTGCTTCAAACATCTTGCCTCCACTGCTGCTGCTGTACTTGCGTGAGTCTCTGAGCAGCGGGCTCGGGGAGGGCAGCATCTCTGGTGGCGGGGGGAGAAACTCAAACGTGTTGCTGGCCTCAGCCCCCAGAGCCAGACTGCAGCCATCATCCAGGCTGAGCTCAGCCAGGTCGGGCTCCAGGGAGCTGTCCTCACTGCTGGTTCTCCGCTTGGCACTGGCATGCTTACCACCTGCTAACCCTGCACCCCCGCCAGGACCTCCTACAGAGGCCCCCTTCCCACCTCCCTGTGTCAGCTTCAGCTTCCCTCCAGAGGAGGAGCCTGGCCCTTTGTACATGCACTTCCCTCCTCCATCTTCCAGGGCGAGAGAGACGCTGCCCCCCAGACGGACCAGCATCCCTCCCCCTCCGCTCACTGACAGACCCTTCCTCTTGGTCAGAATGGTCTCCTTGGGTCGCACTGCCACTTCCTGTTGAGACAATCCACTTCCTCTTCCTTTATAATCTCCCCCAGCTCCACCGTCAGCTCTCCCCCCTCCCCCTGGTTCAGGAGGTTCTCCACCCCCTCCTGCAGCAGCTTTGACTCCTCTCTGATGCTGCACTGCTCTGGACCAGCAAAACGTGGCACTCTTCTTATCAGCACTGCAGTAGGTGATGCCGTCCAGTGGGTAGGCCACCTCCCAGTTAAAGTAGCAGGACTCCACAGCAGGCTTGAAGCCCTGGAACAGTTTGTCCAGGGACTTGCGATGTTGCCCCCGCTTCACGATCTCAATAACCTTGAGGTGCCACTGCTTCAGCTGACCTGCCAGTTCCAGACGCCTGGGAGAGAACAAACAGCCTTTATTTATCACTTGAGTCCCTACTTAATATTTACTACCATCTTACCTGTGTCACTGATGGAATCATGAATTGATAAACAAAACGTTTGCATGGGATTTATCATATTCCATGACCAAATAAAAAAACTCCACAAGCAGTGTGTAGCCTAGTGTCAGTGGTCAAGTGGTCTGACCTGCACGGACTCATCGTGGGGTCAAGCACCGCCAGTCTCCAGAGCACCACCATCTCATCACACATGCTGGCACAGGCGTGAGCCGCCACCTCCGACTGGCCGTTGCTGCGCCCGGTGTGGCCACTGGCGCTGCTGTGGGATGCTGACGTCCGAACACTGTACCACCAACTGATGATCTGAACACAAGCAGTCAGACAACTCAGTGAGGCGTGTGTGTGAGTATGCGTGTGTGTGTATGCATGCGTGTGTGTGTGTGTGTGTGTCAAAAAATGTACAGTATACATCCAAGGTCACCAGACGCTGTGCTGTACAGACCTATAACCTATAAACTATAAATTATTGAGAGTTGAGAATTATTTTGACATTTCTATTTCAACTGGCGCAGCTTTTCTAGCATTTATGACATTGGTTATGTGATTCTATATAATAATAATAACAATTATAATAACAACAACAACGACAAAAATAATAATAATAATAATAATGATAAGTGTGTGTTTACTTTCAGCAGCTACAGCTCGTGTCGTGTTGAGTTTGTACCTGTTCGTAGGTGAGACATTGCTCAGTGAGGATCTCGAGCAGAGGAGCAGCGTTGCTGTCTCGTCTCTTGAACATCTCCCTGACGATGGACAGAAGGTTCCAGATGCCTTCTGGCTCTCGGCCCCTCAGGGGTCTCAGCAGACATGCCCACTCAGCGGCGGCCGGCGGCTCCGTGGATGATAGGTACATGGAGTTTACATCACTGTGAGTGAAAGACACACAAAACACTGTTTTTACAGAAGTAACACTGTGATAAATCAATCAGGAAGAAAGAGTGAGGTAAAGTTAAATGATAGGAAAATATGTTATTTGTGATGATCATAATGAAGAAATGTGTCATTCAGTATCAGGGTACAGCTATTTTCTGTGTTTCTAATAGTTTCTGAAAAACACTGGAGCTCCATGGCACAGACGTATGGATACAATGCTTATTACATACTTTTTTTAAAAGTAATTTTTTGGGCACTTCTGCCTTAACGGGTTAGGGACAGTGAGAGATAGACAGGAAGACAGGGAATATAGGGGAGAGAGAGGAGATGACATGCAGCAAAGGGACCCGCAGTAAGGACTGAGCCTACATGGTATGTGCTCGACCAGATGAGCCACCAGGGCGCCCCGGACAATACTTCCTTTAGCCATCATTCAGTGTGACTGCATTCAATTCCGATTCCGGGAAGTGTTACGGAAACATTACATGGTCCAATTAATGTCAGCGGAGACAGCAGCAGTTTCAGCGCTCCACCTGTCTACACAGGCTTCATTCAGACACACACTCACTGTAAACAACTGAAAAACACAGCTGAAACACTTCCTGTGTCGACACGTTTTTACTCTGGGTCTACTTCAAACAGAAGGCTGACATGTAAAACTGGCTCCATATCTGAATGTGAAGTGAAGTGAATGTGTGAAAAGGGGTTAGAGGAGTGTTTGAGTATTAGCGCAGCAGATAACTACAATAATCTTTCAAATGTGGATACAAGCACCAAAATTGGTATGTTTTTCCCTCTGGGGCCATGCACTTGAAAAAAATCCCATTAGCCACTTGTAATTTTAAAAATTCAAGATGGCGCCATTTCTGGCATAAGAAACACATATTTTACCACAGAATTTTTAAATGTTTGATTTGACACCTAGATTAATCATATGAGAAAATAGTGGATGAACTTACTGCAAAAAATAACATTTACTTGCCAGAAATGGCAGCAACCTTGAATTTTTAAGTGGCTGATGTGTTTTATCAAAAGAGTTAAAGGGAGGATTTGTGCCAAGTTTAGCATTTGTATCCACATTTGAAAGATTTCCCTGAAATATGCAGTTATCTGCTGCACTAATAGGTCTGAATAATAGTTCTTTTGAGTAATGTGTTTATTACGTGAGACACATACCTGAAGACGACAGGTGAGGGCCCACAGAACTTGTGCAGAGTCTTTTTGATGTTGTCGCTGAGGGTCGACTCATCCAAATACCAGGTGCTCTGGTCAGACGCTGAGGGGCCTGCTGTTGGGTCTACACACACACACACACACACACACACACACACACACACACACACACACACACACACACACACACACACACACACACACACACACAGAGGGGGATATGTGTGNACGACAGGTGAGGGCCCACAGAACTTGTGCAGAGTCTTTTTGATGTTGTCGCTGAGGGTCGACTCATCCAAATACCAGGTGCTCTGGTCAGACGCTGAGGGGCCTGCTGTTGGGCACACACACACACACACACACACACACACACACACAGTGGTAAATGTATGCTTTTTTGCAACAATTCTGAGGAAAATCTGTCCTGTGTGATTAAGTCGAGCAATTGTTCATTTTATTTTCCATTTTTATCCAAGGACTTTCCTCGTCCTGTTTCACAGCAGATGAACAAACTGAGCAGTTTGCCCAACAATAAAATCCCTCTCTCAATGGACACAACACTGGAGTAAACACACTCCTCAGCAAGACCAAGGGGACAGCATTCAGGGAACATCACTGCGATCTAGCTGCAGAAGTATGTAATAATGTAGACCGAAACTGATCCACTGTTCTCTGGTTGAAGTGTCAGACAGTGTGCATCATGACAGCAACAAACACACAGCGACAGAATAAGTTAGGTTCTCCTCGCATACACTGAAGATCTAACTATGTCTGTGTATAGTGTATATGTATGTGTTCATTATTGCTACTGTACCTGGAGCTCCACACACAGTGTTGATGGCAGTAGACTGAGAGGAGAGCAGCTCGTCTAGCAGCCGCTGAGCTGTGGGTAGGATCTGAAATACAAAGCTGAATTAACACCCTACTTGCTTTGTCAGATACATGACATGTATATCATATAAATACATACTCGCATTTTCATCAGTGGTTTGGTTTATAGAGAGAACAGCTGGTTCAGCTGGTTTTACCTGCTGAGGCAGCTCACTGATGAGGTACTGAGCGAACTTTTGGAGCTGGTCCCTCTGCAGCCTGGACAAAGACTCAGAGACTGGAGCCCTCAGACACACTGCTGAGGCCTACACACACACAAACACACACACACACACACACATACACACATACACACACACACACACACACACACACACACACACACTGTAATGAGCATCAACACTAAATTAACAGTTAACAAGTAAACTATGAAGCACTCCTGAAATCTTACGATAAGTGAAGTCTACAGAAGCCTCCCCACTCATAACACCCACCATCACACTCTCTGTATCTCAGGCTCAGGTCAGCCAGAGGGGTATGGTTTCTCTTGATAAGCTCATTTGATGAAAATGTGACACTGTTGGACAGAATTCATTTGTGTTGACAGAAACTCACATTGTGGATCCTGAAGAGGCAGAGTGCCACCACGTGGGCGCACCATTTGGCCCCAGCCCCGCAGGTGCAGCTACAGGAAGTGATGCGGCAGCGATCAAACATGACCGCCACATTGTAGGCTCCTTTAGACTGACCAGCCTGACTGGTGACCACTGTAGCACTGAGATGGAAGCCTAAACAAAAACCAAACAAAAACACTGTCTTAGTTCTGTGCTGTATTTTATTCAACTCACTCAATTTCATCACACTGAATCACACATTTTACTCAAACTGTACACGTCATCATTATATGCTTAGGTATAGTTATGCCTTTATGATCAAATTAAACTGCATAAAGTTACAGTTTACAATAGCAGTGATAAGTGTCTCAATGAGCCTCTTCATGGTGAGGGTGACAACTCAACCCACCAATCTGCAGGGGGTCTTTGACGGCTCTGATCCTGTAGAGCTGCTCTCCACGTTGGAACTCGTCTGGACTCCCATTAGCCAGGCAGGAATATAACCTGAGGCAGGAGGAGGACAGAGACAGGTGGAGGGACGGGTGAGAGAGACAAGAGGAAAAGATGTGAAGTGAAGATTAGTAAGAAAAGTGAATCACAAAACTGATGAACCCTTTTTATCCATTTGTCTAATTTCTAAACCCTGTTCAGGGTTGTGGCGGGTTGAAGCCTCTCCCAGAACACACTGAGCGAGAGATACGGTACATCCAGAACACACTCACTCGGGTATAGACCACCTCGGCTACCACTGAAATGTTTAGGAAACAGAAATGTTCCAGAAAGCAGGCATTTCTTCTAGGTAGGACGTAAACACTTTCAGAGAGTACGTCTTGTCCAGAAACAAACCCAGGAAGCTTGGTCCTTTGGGCCAGTACTCTGGACCTGCAGTGTGGGATTTTTGTCTCCTCCTTCTGGCAAACAGAGTAATTACACAAACAGTGCTCTCCAATGAGGAAAACCCACACCAATGCTAATCCATGTTTGTCCTCACTGATCACTGAACACTGAGATTCTTTTTTTTTTTTAATTATCTGGAGCATCACAAACTTCTCTTTCCTCCTTCTCCTTAGGTGTTTCCAACATACTCCTAGTTGCTGAAGCCTACTCTGTCTCTGTTGCTACAGTTGCTCCCTTCTCTAACTCTGGCAGAGCAATCATTGCTGGTTAACGTAAAATGTGTCACCTGCAGTTTGCCAACGCAGGAACGTCACCACAGATACCAGATTTACAACTGATATACAGCGAAATACAGAGAGATTTACCTGGTGCTGAGAGGCTCAATCAGCAAGGTGTGAACTTGTTTGGCAACAGCTTGAATGTAACCAACAGTCATTTATACAATTACTCACCTTCACCTGCCCCATGTAAGAGGTAACTTTCAGAAAATTAGCTGTGAATTACCGCAGGAACTCAGTTTTCTTACACACATTTTTACAGGAGACAAACTTTTTTAAAAACAACAATGAACATTCATTAGGAATATTTTAAATCTCTCTTTTGTTATTAAGTCGGAAAAACACAGCTGACAGGGGATCAGAAAATTGTACTTGTCTCTTCGGCCATCATAGTTTACAAGATGCCGTCAGCAGATCTCTAAACAGAGGTGAAGAAAAGACGTTATTTATTTGTGATCTAACCTGATGTCTTCCTCATTTTCGGGGAAGCTCCAGTAGGCGATGCGAAGTTGGAGCTGTTCTGGGACAGGGGGGTAGACCTTCTCCACCACCTCAAATGGGATGTGGAACGCAACCTGCTTTGCTGACAACTCCACCAGTGGAATCACCTGACCATCTGAGGAAGACCAGAGAAGAGAGGAAGATCAGCTAAGTCAGCAGGACAGCAGAGGAGATACTTCAGGTACCATTTGCATTTATGCTCCTTCACTCTAGTGTCACATTGGTTAAAACTGGCAGCACCACTGCCAGATCAGAGGTTTGCTCTGATGCACCTGTAACCAAGTTACCAGTAGGGATGTCACCCTGTACAAAAAAGAACTGGAGGTCTTTAATGTCAAGTCCATACTATATTTCAACTGTATTATACTATATTTAACTGGTTTTGCATGGTCCCTTTGTATTGGATCTCAGGCCTGTGTATCAATATGTCTAATACGTGAGTGGATATACATCAGCTCTCATCACGTGGTGTATCTGTATCATCATCATCATCATCATCATCATCATCATCATCACAGGAGAAAATGTGTTTCTTAAGGCAGAGTGTGTGACCTCTGCTGCTCTGTTGAGACCTGCAATAACATGCGTCTTCAGTGATCCAGTCACAAGTGGTCAGTTCTCAGTTCATCATTTCACACCTGGATTTAAAACGCCTCTCGACTGACCCCTTGTGATCGGGTCTCACTTCCTGCTTTATATGCAAATAAACAGGTATGTGTTGTTGTTTTTTAGCCTATTGGGTGTAATGAACCTAGCAGCCTGTGTGTGTGTGTGTGTGTGTGTGTGTGTGTGTGTGTGTGTGTGTGTGTGTGTGTGAGTGAGTGAGGGGGGTGGGACTTGTAGTTTTGTGAAGGTATAAAATGATGATACATAAACTGAGACCAATGAAGAACTCAACTCAAACAGTGTGTGTGTGTGTGTGTGTGTGTGTGTGTGTGTGTGTGTGTGTGTCTGTCTGTCTACTGAAAAAAGGGCAGCATAAGCACAATGACAGGAGTCTTATTGAGCACACAGTGGTCTGCCACTGAGAGAAGAAAAAGTGATGGGTCTCAGATTACAGACCACATTTCCAAGCCACTACTTGTGCTGCTGTTTACCATATATGGAGGAAAGCACTCCGTTCATATGATGCCATCACTGGTGTAAAGGATCAGGGGGTTGATGGTTACAGGCCATGGGAAACCCATCAAGGCAAGAAGACTAGCATCACTCATATGTTATATGTGTGTAATCAGTGAGCTAAGCTTTACTGTGACAGAAAGTACACACAAGTTTAAAACCAGGTATTTTAGGTGAAAAAAAAAAACAAAAACAGGCTCCGCTCATTTTGTCAGTTCTCTCATGACAGAGACGGCTAGCTTTCACAATGCCCTCTATGTTGTAGACTTAGCTAATGCAGAAACCTGCATTGTGACAATAGTGTAGCACAGCAACATATTCTACCCAGTGTGAACATCAAAATTGTTATGTTAATGTGAGTGTGTCCAAGCAGAACTGAGATCTGAATCATCTCAGTGCTGATCCTACTGAATGTGAGTGATGACTCTGACATGGTTGACTATACATAACTACTACACAGAGTGGAAAGCTGGGTTGGACACAGCCCTACAGTTGGTCAAGTCCTGCTTCTAGGTTTCACCTAGACCCCAAGAAGGTGAGGGGAGAGGGAAAGAAAAGAAAAAAAAGAGAAAATATGCATGTTTTTTTCCCCCTTTTTCTTCTTCCCTTTTCTCTCCCAATAACTGTCAATAAGTCAAAATATTATAGCAATAACAAAAGCTGTATATCATGTTATGTTATTTTATATTATGCTCCTTGTTTTTGTTTTTGTCTTGTCTCACCAAATACATATATATATACTATATATATTCACATACATATGAAGTCCAGTTACAGGACAGAAGTTATTATATTCAATGAACTTCATGAGCTGATTCTTGGGTCTCTATTATTCAAGGTTGGCTAAATCATGTAGAACTAACTGAAACTTGTTCACTTGCCTTCTTACAAGAGTCTACAGACTAGTAATCCGAGTTTCACTATTTAGAAAAATTGTGAATTTGGCATCCTCGTAGTCTAGAACAGGATTACATTACCAAATCATTGAAATCTGTCCTGTGGGTAAAATTCTGTGGTAAAATATGTTTCCTGTGACAGAAATGGTGGCCATCTTGAAATTTACATGTGTATGTTTCTGCTGAACTCATTAGAAAGTTTAACCTCATCCTTTGTTTTTTCCACAGTTAAATTAAACAATTTTTATCATTAAAATTACATACATCTTACTACAGCTGCATCATCATTAGTCAATTGATTGATTAGTTGATTGACAGAACAAAGCCAGGTGAAGCAGCTTTGAGTTTCTCTGCTCCTCACCTGTGGAACAAGCTTCCTGAACACCTGAGATCTGCTCAAACTCAGCGCATTTAAATCAGGAATTAAAACATCACTGTTTGCTGCAGCTCTCCCATAAATTACATCTTTTAATCTTGTGCATTTGACCTGATCTTATGTATTCAAATGTTTTTAAATATTCCTATTTGTTTTTATTGTTTTTAAATTTAAATTTTACTGTCATTTTAATGTATTTCCAAGCCCCTGAAAAGCACTTTGAATTGCCTTGTCTCTGAATGGTGCTATATAAGAAAACCTGCCTTGCCTTAATTGATGATTAATTGATAATCAGTGACTCATTTAAATCTGTGAGGAGTAGCTGTTTTTCTCTGTTTTATGTCATAATTAAAATCTTAATTTAAAGTCTACTTAAAAACCTTCTCTGGAGCTTTCAATCACATCTCAGTTCGAGTTTGCACACACTTAGGAATTTGATTTAAGGTGTTTTTACTTGTTTTTACCATTTGCAGTTGATAAATCAATAAAACAATGAATTGAGAAAATAATCTGCTAATGAATTGATGATGAAAATAAACCCTTGGAACCCCACGTTAGGAATGTTTTTACCTCAGAGCAGCATCGCAACTATATTTGTGCTGCAAATGTTTAAGCCTCAACATAATGTACAGTAATCCCTGTACTGCTGATTGTTATTATAAATAAATAAAACATTAATTAAGGTAAAATTGTCTTTTTTTATTATGCTAAGTAAAATATTTTCAAGCCTGCATTACCACTGACTACTGTTACTTCTGCTGTAACTAATATTACTATCACTAATACTCATTTTTTAACTTCCTTTCTATTGACTCTTTTACAAATCAATACTGCAATGATTTCCTTTAGTGAAACAGCTCTAGGATGAAACGTAAACTACTAAATCTTCCTGCAAATTCCTGCGAAAGTGGCCATTTAAAACAGAAGAAGAGCGTGTTGACATAATTTGTCTATTGTGTTTATTACAATATTAGTTTAGAATAAGAAACTGGGACAGCCTGACTGTCTAACAGTAAAGAGCTCAATCCTGAAGAGAGAGAGGGGTGGCTGGGTAGTAACAGAGTTCATGTGGCCGGCCTGTGATTGGCTGTTGGGGGTGAATGGCAGCCGGCTGTCCACCAATCAGCTCCCAGCACAGAGAAGACACCACTACAACAGCTGTTCCTTTGTAGCTGGCCCAGCGAAGAGCTGAGTGAGGACTCATTCACTCTTTTCACTGGATCACTAACTCTCTCACTGCCTTCCTCCCCTGTCCATTTCTCTCCAGAGGGTGCACTCCATTCTTACGCTGACAAACACCTGTGGTGCGCTTGATGGGACGTTTCTGCTCACTATTTAAAAGCTGCCTCTGCTCTTGCACACAGCGGATCCTCTGCTCTGTTCAAGTGGCGTGTGGGTTTATTTTGACCACTCGGCTGGTACACAAACACCAAACAGATCTCCTCGCTTGATGAATTATTTATCGATCTATCTATATTTTGGTCTGTCAATGAAGTAAATGAATAAAGCAGGGATATCTACTTCTGTTGTGAAGCTACCATTAACAGTTACTGCCACATGTGGCTCATAGGATCGGTGTAACAGTCATGCTGGTTGCGCCATGCAGCCTTTGTTTCCCTCCTCTCACCGGTAAAGGTTTCCCCTCCATTTCAAACACACACTCATGCTGCTCTGAACAGCCTCTGTCCTGGTGGGAGGAAATGGAGTTAACCCACTCTTTTCAAAGGGAGAGTTTAGTCGCAAAATAAGCTTCTGTGACAAATGTGTCTGATATTTTTTCAATCTTCTGTGCAGCACAGCTTGGTAATAATTTTGTAATTTGTTCTATAAAGTGTTTTTTTTTTTTTTTAATTAATACTACTTTTGTACCGCAAGTCCTTTCTTGGGCAGAGCAGCATGGTGCTACAGTGAAGGGTCTGGGTTTCAACCTGCTGCTGGTGTGTGTTTGCATGTTCTCCCTGTGTGTCTGTGTGGGTTTTCTACAGGTGCTTTGGTTTCTGCCTCCACAGAGGCGCCTGCAGGTGTGAATGTGAGCGTGAATGTTTATTTGCCGATATGTCAGCCCTGTGGCTGTGACCAGGGTGTACCCCGTCTCTCGCCCAATGATGGCTGAAGGAGATCAGGGGCCAGATGTATAAATGATGTGTACACACAAAAACCATGCATACGGATCCAGCTCCAATCGGCAGAGATGGAAACATGACACCCAGGTGAACACACTAAACAGACCTATCACCTGACCAGCACAGTGCTGTTAGATCAAAAACTCCTTTCTTTTTTACAGTCTATGGGCTAAACACAGCACGGCATGGCTATGCTAATATTCCCAGCCATGCTAACTAGCAGCTAGCTGCCGCGCAGGCCCACTAAGACGGGGACGAGATGCAGTGGATCCATTTTACCACTCTGCAGAGCAGCTAGCAGCTCACTCAGTCTGAACAGAAGGGCACACTCAGTTTAACTGGTTTTCCTGTGTTTAAAAAAACCTGCATACACATGCTAATTTAAAAAGGTTATGTGATAGCCTTTTTCATATGAATCATCATATCAAAAAACTGAATGTGAAAATCATTACACAATTTTGCTCACTTTAAACATCCATTGATTTTGGAGAGCCAGTTTAAGGTCCATCTCTGACCCTCGATAGCAGTTGTACAGCTTTAGTTTCAGTTGTGTAAGAGAAGTTGAGCTTCTTCTCAGTGAGCCATTCCTTCCATATACCAT